AATTGAGTAAAGAATAATTTTAAAATTTTACCAAAATTGAAATTAAATAAAAAATATTGTTTTTGAATCCCAAGCTTTGAAATTATCAATTTCTCGATTCAAATAGATATCATACTTTTTGCTTCAGTTTATTTAATGTCAGTAATTTTAAAATACCAATATTTAAAAAAACCGAGTATTTTTAAGGTCGCTTCATGATGAGGCAGTCTTTCAGATCGTTACCCTTCGAAATAATAAATCGTGTTTTATGCGACGTGATCCGCTTTGGGTGCCACCCTTCGTGTATCTTTTTTTTTAACTATGGGGCGAGTCACGTGCGAGAAACTCGACGATGTTTCAAGTCATATTTCCACGAAAAAAAAATGATTAATCCAGAAATCGATTGTCGGTTCTCAGTAGGTCGAGCCTGTCGATTTTCATCAAGGTGAGAAAATTTTTTTTATAATGTCTTATGCACACAACTTGTTCTTACATATGACATACAAATATTTCGATGAACGGCGGCGAAAAGAACACGCGAATAATAGCACTAATAAAATCTCTCCACGCTCGATCGCTCTCAATCGTTATTACGATAATGGAGGCCTTCAATCCGATACTTTGTTAGTGAAACATTGAAACAATAACGCAAGCTAATTGATACCTCGGCTGCGGTTACAGGATATTGTTGGATAATTCAATTTCTTGGCTATACAATAAGTATCGGTTAAGACTGTATTTTTGGAATGCTAGCTAATCTAAATGTAAAGTGCTTTATTTAAAGGAAAGAAGAATGAAACAAACAAACCGATGAATAATCACATTAGAATTAAAAAAAAATAATTTTAGATATAATTTTATTTAAAAATATATAAAGATAAAAATAAATATAAATTGTAACTATTTTCTCCGACAGATATTCTATTCGAGAATAACGATTACCGAGTTGTCGAGTTCGTATTTCATATATAAGACTACTCTTAAGTCTTTCGTTCTTGTATATATAAATGAAAAAGAAGATGGAGAAAACGCCTCGCGATTAGTCCGGCTCGTCTGTAAATCCTATGAATTTCACTCGCGGAATAACGAGACAGTGTAGCGATTTATCATCTCTTGACTACATTGATCTCTCTTAACTTCTGTTGCTGTACCAACAACATGAGAGGAGGCTTGAATCCTTTTAACATTCTTCAGTCTTTAATTGCTTCCGTTTTCTTGCCAATTACTTCTTCCGCTTATCTTTCCGCTTTACATAAAGTTTACATTCAGTTTTACCATCAGCTTGTTAAAAAACGAATCATTAATTATACTCTCGTCGTGCTACAATGGTTTTTATGTGAAGAAATATTCTTTCTATTAGTAAAAGTCAGATTGCAAATTGCAACGTGCAACATACACACATGAATACAATGCAGCATTAAGTGTCACATAATAACATTCTTGCGGAGAAACCGATATACATATATTAATAAATCATTTTTACTACTATCTCAAGTCAATTCATTTTTAACGCTTGTTAATAAAATAGAGTATCGTGAAAATACGCCGATGAAATACGTATAGGTGCTTGTATAATTATTTTAAACTTGGATGATTTTTTAAACTCTAAACGTGCAAAAGCCACGTAACATTCAGCATAACATCCACTTTCTTTTTTCTTCGTCCTATGTGCATATATACGTCATAGGATCGAGATACAAGAACGAAATTTCATATGACGCGTAGCGAAGTGCAATGTCATATCCGGCAGCATTGCACATTCGAGAAATTCGGTATCGGAAAAAGCATCGCGTGTTCGCGGAATTTCGTCGCGAACATTACAGAACGCAGATACGTTCTATTTGTCACGTTCCACGCTCGAAATTTTGTAAATCAAATGGAGTAAAAATTCGAAACACTTATTCTTGAAATTGAAGCTGTGTAAATGTCATTAAATCAATGACACCAAGATTTCATCAAAGATCTAAATAAATATTTATACTGATCTTTATTGAAAACACATAGCATATATTTTATTTCTTATACCTCACTGATGACAGTTGTAAAATTTTATTGGAAAATTAATAATAATATTTGCAAGATGTAATTTTTAAAGCTTTTTCTACTTTTATTTTGCGTTGCAAATAATTTATTAAAGAGGCTCTCTCTTTCATTACACATATTTGCATAAAATATTAATATAAAGCAAATATTTAAATTTGAAATTATACAATATATGTATATTACATTTTTTTAAATGATTGACTTCTAATATTTGAATATAATATAATATTTATACACGGAGAGAATTTTCTTAGAATTTATATTATATATTTCTTAGATTATATTTATAATATAAATCCTGAAAAATCATAATAATCATGAGACAATATGGCATAGGAAAAATCTTATTTTCAAAGAATTTCTCTAATTAATATTTATCATAATAAAAAATATTAATATGTACATAGTAGATTTTACTATGTACAATAGTAAAATTAATCGAATACATTTTATATATTATTGTGTTAAATATTAATAAGAGAAACTCATATAAAATTTTTCCAACACCATATAATGTCCCGCGAGTACAATGATTTTCAGGGTAAATTCTAAGAGAAAATTCGAAATTAATTTCGCAACATCTGAAAACATTCGAAACCCTTCGAAAGATTTAAGAACGACGAATAATAATTCGTACACGTGCGAAAATGGTTCCGCCATTCGTACCTCGTCGAATGAATGCACGGTCGTTCGTTCATTCGTTATTATTGTATTTCGCGAAACGGGGCGGCCACGTGTTTCTCCCGTACAATATTTTCGCTACGCGCACGCGAAATAACACCCACGCACATCTGTGCTCTCGGTGTGACCCGAGAGAGCCGATCGTCACGAACGCGATCGTAAAACCTCGCCTCGAATTTCGGTGCCGAAATCGATTTTCCTCCGCGTCGAGAATTGTCGTCTAAAAGCGGGAAACGAGCAGCGGCTCCGAACGCGCGGGACAATTAAATGGCTTATCGTTTGCGAGATAGAGACAAAAAGAGAGAGAGAGACAGATGGATAGAGGGAATACGTATGCATATACGCACATCCTGGGATCCTATTCGGGGATGAATCGATGCGCGGTGTACATTGTGCGAAGATGAGTGTCGCCGGATTGTGTCGCGACCCTCGATCGCGCGGCTAATTGCTCTTTCCTCATTTTACGCGGAAATTAACGCCTCGATGTGTATTCAACAAATGACGAGTATTATTGAAGTGGAGAGTGTGCTTATAATTTGGATTAATAATTTCACAGATGTCAAAATATTATTGCAATGTACATTAGGGAGGAGAAAGGAAACATAATATACAGCTTCTTCGAAAAAATGAGAAATTAACATATTTTTTCACTGGAAAAAAAATTTTGTTGAATTAACAAAAATTCTGTTCGAAAATGGACGAAACGGAATTACTGGTTGAAACTACCAGAATTCCTTTTAATGCAACAAGCATCTACCAGAATTTCTTTTAATGCAACAAGCATCTTGTTTGTACAACAAATCAGATTATTGGTGCAAACAAGATATTTGTTGTATTGTATTAAAAGGAATTCTGGTAGATTCAACTAGAATTCCGTTTCGTCCATTTTCGAACTAAATTTTTGTTAATCCAACAAATTTTTTTTTTGGTGTTCAAATTTAATACAACTTGAGAGAGTGAATTTATCATTAAAAGATTGCTAGTATTAATTGAGGAAAATCTCTCGTTAATTTAATTGGTTGAAAATATTATGTGGTCTATAAAGAGTAAGAAATTTTGACATTTGTACTCAGTCAAAATATGACATTTTTTTATTATACGTATACTTAAAATACGAGAAAGATAAAAATATTTAATAGAATCGTATTATATAAATAAAAACGCGTATTTTTTTCAAGTTACACATCTATCAAGATTTGCAACTATATAAAACTTTTTGTCTTTAAGTCTAGTTCTAGCAGTTACCTTTCAGTTAATCCTACCGATTTTGTACGGTTTTCCTGCACCTCTCATAGCTTCTTACATCTTCTCGTTACTTGCGTATTATATTAGGCGTAATTATTTTATTGAGTTTCGGCAAGTTTGAGAGAGCAACGCGGCCGCAACCTCGTAGTTAACACTTTAATCGTCGTGCTGCTTCGTTCGCAGAATCAATTTTGACCATGTAATAAATTATCACATCGCAATTTGGATTCTGGTAGCGTGGAGAAAGTTATAATACAAAGTTATTAATAATACATATCATAAAAAAATTAATCAATATATAGAAACAAGAAATAAACGTATTTTTAGATTATTGATGATTTCAAAGATTGTGTTATTTAGACATTATTTTAAGATAGTTTGATAAATAACAAATAATCAAGTTTTGTCAATCATATGTGTGAATATCTGCATTTGCTTCTTTTTCTAACATTAATTATAATTTATGTTGTGATTAAAATTTAATACATCAAAAGTTTGATGTGTAAAAATAATGTATTTATATATATGAAAATTAAGTATATTTATATAATGTAATATAAATTAAGTATTTATGTAAATATATCTACATCACATAAGCTAAAAATATCAAGTTATTAAATAGTCATATTTCAATAAATAAATATATAGATATATCTTAAATAGAAAACATATATTTAAATACTATTTTGATTTAAAATATTTGCGCGCGAGTGAATTCGAACAGTGAATATGATGAATCGATAGTTCATGATCGATAGCTGCAAATTTTGTCAACACTTATATTACGTAGACACGAGCTCAATTATAAAGTTTTATTAAATCTATATTTTTGAATGATAAATGGATATATGAAAAAACAATAACACACAAGAAGAAAGAGAGATAGCACACGCTAAATATACATAAATATAAATCCAATGCACACAAAATGCTAGAAATGAGAGCGAGGCGGCCCGGTCTCGGTTGAGCGTCACTGAAGTCTCGCCGACTTCCCCCACCACTACGCGTTCTGCGTCGGCCGCCTGGCGCGTCTCGCTGCCAGTCGGTGGCGGGCGCTCGGAGCATACGTATCGCGTCGCGTTCGGAGTAGCGGTACTCTCCCTTTTTTTCCCTCCCCGGCCTTTGTCGCTTCGTGTTCGCGTAGTATCGACGCTCGACAACCAAGTGTGATCCCGCGAGGCTCGTCGACACGTCGCGTCGCGTCGCGTCGCGTCGCGCCGGGTCGGCACGTGCTGTCAAAAATATTTGAGAGAAAAACGATTCCGTCCCCCGATCGCGCGCTCGGTGCGTTTGCTCGGTGCGTTTGTTTTGACATGTGTGTAAGCTGCCATATTGGATTACCGCGTCGCTGCCGCTGCTGCTGTCATCGTCATCCTCGTTGTCATCGTCACTGTCATCGTGATCATCGTCATCGTTGTCGCGGCGAAACGTCCAGACGTGAGACGCGGCTTTCGCGCTAAAAAAGGTAAGGCGACACGACGAAGGAGGAGGAGAAGGAGAGGAGATACGCGACGCCGGCGGCGACGACGCGCCACGACGAGGACGCGAGGCGTCGTCCTCGTCGGTTGCACGAAAGTACTGCTACGGCGTACTTTCGGGCCCGCTCGATAACCAGCGTCGTCGCCGCTAGTTTAACGCTGAAAAAAAGGAGTAAAGAACACAGGACCGCTCTCCGGCGTCGCGTTCCAGTCGATACGGACTTAACGCGACGTTCAACGTTAAGGAGGATCGCGAGTCGGACGCGAGCGATATGTTTATGCGGAAATCGCGCGCTTCCGGAGCGGAATCGAGACGGAGCCGAGCGAGGAACTCTTCGATCGCGTGACGCGCGAAATGGCGCAGCGTCTCGCCGCTAGCTTCACGCAGGTCGACATATTCGGCGCATTTGGCGCCGATGTTTTCGTTTCACGATGCGCGGCATCGAACGCGATCTATTCTCGTATCGGGGATTACACCCTCGTCCTTCTCGGAACAATTTCGATTTGTTGAAACTGTAAACGTCAATATCTCATGAAAGTTTGCGATCGGAGCTTACGTCAGTTTTATACGTGGGGCTGCTCGATGATGTCATTTCTCGGAATAAACAGCATCGGGCAATTAATTTTAATGTTTAACGACGACAGGAATACGGAAATGCGTCGAAATTTCCGGAGACGCGTTTCGATTGTCGAAACTCGGACGTGATTTGACTTTTTAAACTTATTGTTAGCCGAACGCAGAAGCGCGCGTTGCACTAAAGTGATTGTTCCGATATTATTTTTCTTCCAGACGCTGTAAAATACCGAACAAGTTTGCTCTTGACGTGCGACGTTTCAGACGTTATATATATACGCTAGTCTCGTTTACGATCGGAGCTTTAGTACGAAACCAATCTCATATACGCGCTCCGATATGGATCTCGAAACGTAAATGCCGCTTTTTTTACGCGCGTTGTTTTATATAACAGCCTCTATTTACAGAAGAATAATACACTATACATAGTACGACATAGATTATCGTAATTTTATGGCAGGTTTGACATTTTTTACATACACATATACAATGCATAAACTTTAAGTTTATGTAATAATAAATATTCGAAGAATGATAACGCGCGTTCTTAAATATGACAAGTCATAAAATTCAATACTTTTATTGCAGATTTAAATCAAAATTATTCCACATATGAATGAAATGATTGGATTATTCGTAAAATTTATAGCAATTTTTAATATATATATATATATATATATATATTTAATACATATTGATACATATTTTGACAAGTAATATTAAAAAATACGTTTTTGAGAAAAAAGTACATCGATATTGTATTTCGAATGGCAATTTTTGAAACTGAAAAAGTACGTGTTTTTTTGTCACTTGAAACTTTTCGACTAACAACATTTTTTCTATTTATTATTCTTCGCGTAGGAAATTTTACAAATTTAGGTTTATTTTTACACGAAACACTCTTGCATTCTGGCAACTGTGAAGAGTTTAATTTTGGTAGTTTGGTATATCGAGAAAGGTGCGTAATTTAAGAGAGAAAGAGAGAGAGAGAGAGCGACTGAAAAGTGAACGCTCTTCCGCAGAGGCGACTAGTTTCTCGTCTAGATTGGTTCCGATACAAACTGCTGCAAGGCTCGCACAGTTTCATATTACATAACGCAATTATCTCGGTGATCCGTAATGACAACGTGAATCACACCTTTCGCTCGGATACGAGCCGCCACGTATTTACGGCGGATATAACACGGTGGCGTAGAACGGAGAGTGCATGATATCATTCGTGAAGGTGCTTTCGTGAATAAATTGTATTTTCGTGTTATATGCGTCATCCGTCCGCATCTACGAGAATATCGCGTCGGATATCGGAATAGCCACATAATAAATCGTGACTCTCGATCGTATAGACCACTGACCCGTGATTTTTTGCGCACGACCGAGTCGCGAGAATCGAAAGAAATTAATAAAAATTAATATCAATATAAATAATTAATAAATAAATATATATAATGAATATGTATATTTATTAATTAATTATAGTATTTTTTACGTTTATTTTTTTTATTATTAATATGTGTTTAATGAACTTTCTTTACATAAATTATATATAGTTCTATATAAAATTTCTTTCGACTATTAATATACATATAATAAATAATGCATTTTACATTGAACATGAATTTAACGAAAAAAATTGCCGACTCCGATTCTCATCATCTTGATTTTCTCACGACGAGCCTTCGCGTGGCACGATCTCTCTCCAATTTAACGGTACAAGTTATTTCGCGAACAGACGTCGCTGTTCGCAGCGAACAACGCGAACGAAAACGAGAAAAAAACACGGTTTTTCCTCCCTGTTGCGGTGTTCCGCGTGCAGACGATATTTTTTTTGCTCGAAGCTTGCGCAACACGGGCGAGAGAGAGAGAGAGAAAATAAAGGAGTTCGTAAGCGAACAGGTTACGGTCGTGGCTTAAAATTAGACCTGGTGCACACAAGGCGAGCCCGCGCTCGATACATCTGCGACGTATATATTCGTGTACTCCTTTTCTCTCTTTCTTCCTGGTTACTCCGCTTCGTTGCGGGAACAAAGGAAAGCAACGAGCCTGAAAGTAAGACCGAGAGAAAGAGAGAGGGTGAAAGAGAGAAAGGAAGCGTGTGTACGTTCGTTCATTTCGTGCGTGACGAAAGAGCGCGGAAGGGACGCAGATGTGCTGGGATTTTAAATACCCGGATTTTTTACGTACGCGCGCGACGTGCGCACGTAATCCTGTAATCAAAGTCGTTAATAAAAGGTTTCAGCGTTCACACGTGCGCCTCCGCTCCGAGCGAGGAATCATTTCGTCGATGCGAAATATACAGCTGTGACTGAGGATTGAATTATTCATATTTGATGCGGAGAAATTAATGTTGTTCCAGATTGAATTATAGAGAAAGTACATATATATATATCATTCAATATTGTGATTGCATTAATTTCATAACATTAACATATAAATGTAATAATTAAGTTAATAGTATTAAATATATAAACATAAATAAATAATAATATTGTAATTTGATATTAATATTTATATGTATACTTTATTATTGCTGTTAATAATATTGATTTGTTTCGAATCAGAATTCTATTTGGATATAGAGTTTCCAAATTAAATTCCGCTATCTCTGCATATAGTTAGACTTTGAGAGTAGGAGAGTTTTAAATGATTTCACTTTATATTTTTTTATTATAATTTTTGAGAAATTTGCGACAAAAGCTGTAAAAATAATAAGGAAGACAGAATTGTGTAGAATATTTTAAAAAAACTACGGAAAATTATTTTGGTATTGAAAAGGGTTAATTTTTATTGAACTAAAAAAAATTATTATAATTATTTAATTAAAATAGAAGAAGACTAGAATAAAATTGAATATATAATAAATGATACACATATAGGTTCGAAGAAAGAAAAATGATTCGCTACAGAAGGAATAATGAGGTTGCCAACTGTGGAATGTCCCTTTACAGTTTCATGAAAGTCCCACAAAAGTCACAGATGGAGGCAACTTGTGCAGCCAGAAAGATATGGAAGTATTCTATATTATCTCCTACCCTCTATTATACCCAACTCTCCCCTATCCCTATAAATCCGCAGCTGCTGAACTCGAAATAATTTTAAAGGAATGCGACATAAATCTATCACAAAGGATATTATAATTAATGGATATATTTTATATAACATGTATGTCTCTACACGCAGAAATTTTTTTCTCTAAATTTACTCGGAAAATCATGGTAATCGTGAAACAATATGGTATACAATAAAAAATATTAATACGTATACATAGTAAAATTAATCAAACACATTTTTCATATTTTATCGTGGTAGATATTAACATTTTTTTATTATGATAAAATTATTATAATCAAGAAAATTCTTATAAAATTATTCCAATATCATGCATATATTGTTCCACGATTTTCCATGATTTTCAGGATAAATTGTAAGAGAAAATTCTCTCTGTGTTTATTTCACATAATTCAAAAATCGATCAATATTTTTTGTTGTTTCAACACACGCGCTTCGTGAAATGTCCATTGAATTTCCTTGGATTGTTGAAAACGTCATCTTATTGTTAGCCGTGAAAGAGAAGAAACGGAAAAGTATAGAGTCAGCTCGAATTTCGAAAGTATAAAAGCACTTTGGATATATTTTCGTATGTTTCTCGAACGTTGCGCAAACGTCGTCCGCGCGTGTAACACCCCCTCTAAAAAAACGTAAAAAAAAAAAAAAAAAAAACCATTGAACGTGACCCGATTCTCTCGGGTTATTCATAGCGCTCGCAAGAGCGTCTCACATCGGCGTGGCGCAACGTGTCAAGTCGCATATTATTCGCGTATGCGTGTGTCTGGCGGATCGAGGGTGACGTAAGTGCGTAAGAGAACGATTTGAAAGAGTTAATTCGTCGTCGAAACGATACGCCTCGCCCGCACCACGTCCGACTCTGTCGTTTTATAGCCCATCGGGCTGTAAAAGATAATTGGATCCTATAGCGTTGACCCGCGCTGCTCAGTCAGAAAGAAAGAATCGTCCGAATCTGTGTCAGAATATATAACGCCACCGTCCAAGATACATATTTGATTTAATTAATTCAGTTTGTAACGAAAAACCGATTAACTGAAAATGCTGGAAATTGGAATTTCTCTTGATTCTAGTGGAATCCTCTCTTCTTCTACCCCTTACTCTCTCATCGCGTTAATGAGAAAGATTAAGGGTTAATTTTGCTTCACCTCAGATCGCAAGCTTTGTGAGTCTCTGTACAAACTCACGGCGAGACATTGAATGCTCTGCTGGGGGTTTCACCTTAATTAACTGCCCTAAATTCACGCGCGCGAAAGAAGGGAAAAAAGAATCTGTCAAAAGAGCGTTTGTCAGATTAGAGACTCGTCTTTGTCTGACTGCTTTTCAATAAGACTTAATTAATTTTTGTCGTCCGTTCACCGTCACTTGAATCGACTAATTAGCCAATTCCACAAGATCGACCTTTCGTACGATCAATTTTCCAAGAGTAGACTGTATTCTTTCTCGATCGCGTAAGGATAATCGAGGGAAAAACAAATTTACGTATTTTTTAGTAAAAGTTGTCAATATAATCAACAATGATAATAATTAATTTAAATATCAAATGATACTTCTCTATTTAATTACACTAAAATGTATCTCCGATGAGATAAGAAGAATACTGTTTGTATCTGTCGGCGATTTAATCGGCATCGACTAACTGAGAAATCGATTTCTCGTCGGATGAAATCCTAGAAGGGTAAACCGAATCCCGGTTTCCGATCGCGCACAGGAAGAAATATATAACTCGCAGCGCGCGTTCTTGCCTGCCACCCCGCCAGAAATTTCCATGCAAATGTTTTGTGATCGATATCCTCCATCGGTGCCGATCGCGCGGTCTTTCTCGTCACTTTTCCTCGTGGGTTTCTCCGACGAGGGTGTTTACCCTCTCGATATACGACGAGAACGTTTCGCGCCGCGAGATGCAAATTTCTGAATCAACAATTTAAAGCCGTCTACTCGTTTAATTAAGGATTTCGGAGTTTCTACGGATGCCGTAGAAGCCTCGATTTATTTTCTCACGGAGATAAATCGAACGGCGAACTTGTTTCAAGTAAGTGATAACGATATGCATCTCGTAGATTCTCTTGCGGTTATTCTTTTTTCAATTTTTATTTAAAATTTCTGAATATTCAGTTTTGCAAAAGAGAAAAAAAGAAAAAGCTTATTTTCGAAGAAAAATGCAGTATTATTATTCTATTTTCTTGAACAAATACAAAGAATTTTTCTGAAAAGAATTAAGAAATACCATTATCGTTTTTGCATAAGGACTATAGTAATGTGTTCTATAGAAGCAATGATTGATAACCACTGCAAAAGCAGTGGTAGTCAACAAATATCTGTTCTGAAAAGGCATGAGATTAATTAGTTTTTTCTGCAGTTATTATAATTGTTGATGATTATCTCTGGACAACACGTGTGCGCAATATGTTTTGTGTTTAAATAAATATAATTTTTCTTGCATCCCTTTGATCGTTTAATATTTTAATTATACAGAACAATGTTATTTTATAATTGAAATATCACTCTTTCAATTAAAGTACCATTGTTTTTATGCAAATGTAATAAGCAACACTACTCTTGTAGAACATTTTTTTTCTCTAAAAATAACGTTGCTTTATAGAACAGTTTTTAAAAATAAAGTTATAACATTGTGTCGTAGCTCCTTTCGCGTTAAAATAACACTGTTTTGTATAACAGCTTTAACTGGTTATATATACATATAATTTCTGTGCACAATCGCTGTTCTCTCTTACGCAGGAGACATCCGATATGACGCGAGCAAGGTAAATGCGTATTACACGTCATTGATTTTTCTCGCTCTGCTATTATTATGCGCCATTGAATACCCATCCATTGTACGCAGTGCGACAATGTCTTATACCACACCCAGTGCGTTTCGTGTAGAACATAATTGTTTCGTAGGCGCAGCACGCGTTTGACTAATATTTGCTCGATTGTCACGCATAATCAGTATATCTCAGCTTTCGGAAATGTTCTAAAATTAGCATTGTTATATTAAATTTCCTATTAACACACAATGTCACGGTTTTTCCGTTTACAACTTTAGGGTGTCTAGCGGTCAGGGAAATTTTATTATTTATCTAGATTTTTTCACATTACTCTACATTTGTCTCAATAATTTGAAATCATTTATTATAAATAAATATAAACTTTTCCTTGACTGCCAGCACGCTTATTTTCTGTGTTGTTAAAAATTGATTAATCTACAGCGTGTTCGTTAATTTATATTTTCATCGTCGTGTTATTTTATTTCAATGTGTTTAATAGAGATAAAACTAAAAAAATTTGTATAATTGATTTAAATTTTCGTTTTTTTAATTTTCGAACCTTTTCACTGTTGACAAAAATAATTCAAGGATTTCATATGATTTAACATTTAATTTATTCTATAGATATATGCAAATTATATATTTGGAAAAAATAATACTAAAAAGTGAGGGAAAAAATTAATATCTAGTCTTGGAAAATCTGAAAAAATCAGAGAATTTTTTTCATTGAGTCTGCTGGACACCCTGAATCTTGTTTTTGTATAACAACCTGGTTAGTTTCATATCAATTACATATTTTTGTTCAATATTTTCTTTCTCTCTCTCTCTTCGGTAATACATCTTCATTAAAGAGATCTGTTATAATAGTACGTTGCAAAGAACCGCAGAGAGGAAATAAGAGAATGGATTGCACACACTGGCTCGTACAGCCACCGATACATTTGTCTACCGCGTATCGCATTATATCGAGATCCGAGTGTAATTTGTCGCGCGGCGTGTATAACGCCGTTTTCGTTTAACGAGCCGGCAAATGGAGCGCTTGCAAAATGTCCCATCGCCACGAGAACAAAAAGCTACCCCCGCCCTCCTACCCCTCGAGTTGCCCTTGACTGCCAGGCGCGAACCCTGCGGCTAACATCTGTTACCCTCTGTCGTTAATTGTTATTGCACGTACGACGCTGCCATAAGTGTGTGTGCAAGATTGTGTGCGTACATGTGTTTGTGACGGCCATTAAACTTCCCCATTACATTATTGCCGGATCGATCGATCGGTCGATTGGTTTCAGGCTTCATCCCGCTTCGGGAAACGAGCATTTTTAATAGAGCAAAGATTTCTCATCGTTAAGAATAAAAAAAGAAGAATATGTACCGAAATACTGCTGCAAGCCACTGCGGATGTTACGTTTTCACGTTACTTTAATAGATGACTGACTATAGCGCGGATGTTTATATTTACATGAAGGATAAATGGCAGAAATAGATGTGTATTTCGGTCTCTTTCGATCGGATGGTCTAACCCGAAAGTGTTTACGCCGCGAATGATGTCGTGAGGTGTCCTCATTTCTCGGGAAGACCGATTGATTTTGGTTGTCGATATTATCGGGTAACATAGGTGTTGCATCACTGAAAACAAGATTGGTTAATTTGACTAAACCTTTCAACTAAATTACTATTTTGTTAATTGAACATACCTATATTAGTATTCAAGTCAAATATATACGTTTTGTGTGTTAGATTTAATATTTAACCCTCAGTTACCACTCATTTTTGGCCACCCTATTTTACCACTCATGGGTTAGAGTAACCCAGAGTCTCCTTTTGTTTATATTTCTGGATCTAATGAAGTTATTTTAAAGTATTTTTTTTCAATCGATACGTTAGACAGTAAGAAAAAAGCATATATCGGTACAAATGTCACCAGATTTCTACGACTCGAGATATTTGAGAAAAAATGAAAAGTAATTTTCTAAAATTTCGAAAAAATCATTTTTAATATGGGTTAACGTAACCCAGAGAGGCAACTGAGGGTTAATTTAAGTATTTTCGGCGGAAAATTATAATCGCGGTTGACTGAACGAGACTTGTAAAATTCCTACGTATACAAAAGTGCACCGTTTTGCCAACTGCGTACGTTTGTTTTTGGTAGCACCTTTAGCACAAAGTGCGCAGTTTTACGAGATTCCACGTGCATATACACACACACAAAAGTGCATCGTTTTATTAAACATGTAATACATGTTTATTTTCGTAACGTCTTTAGAACAAAGTGCACCTTTACGTATCTAGGTGCCTACATATTTCTCGGTGGATTATTACTTCTCGTATTTTGCCGTCTTTACGTTTGTATCGATCGCACGACGAAGTATAAAACGCGTTGTATTAAATTGTATAGCGAATAGATATAATTGCTAAGGGCACTTTCAATACTACAGATACATAGAAATGCGCTTTGTGGACTTTTAATAAAATTAAGTAAATGGATTATTGGATGAATATTACATAATGGATTCAATTGTGTATACAATAAACTCTTTTTCTTTTTGTCACAGAGCGATCTATCTACGGAGCAAGCATGGAAGCCATCACAACGATTACGCGGCATAGTTAAGGTAAGAGATCTTAAAAGTATACATAATGTATTTTCGATTAATGTAAGTAATTAATCTGCATTCGCGCAATACATTTTTATTGTGCATTATCTTGAACTTTTGCGCGTTTTTGACATTTTGTACCGGACGATTAGATACATCCGGTACTGAATGCAATCGAGTAAAGGTAATACTTACTCTCGTTACGCTTCGCGCATATGCATTAATTGCAAGTCATTAGGTCAAACTATAATAGCGCGTTTTATTGTTCTACAAACCGTATTGCATCGAGGAATTAATTTCTCAACACATTGAATCAGCGAACAATGTGTAATGAGTTGTCGGTTCTTGGAAAAGCTAGGAAAATCAATTTAATATTACGTTGTATATTGAAAGCTACGCAAAACAGAGAGGATAAAATCGAATTCACAAATATATAAGAGCGAGGAAAGAGAAAATTAGTTTCTTCGTTTTTTTTATTGTCAGATTTAAAGAATTTAATTTGGAAAAATGATAAATGCGCTCTTGAAAATCTAATATTTACGCGTTGGAAAAATCGAAACGAATCCAGGCGATGTAGACAAGCATCTTTAAAGATAGCATTATACGGTTTGGGGTCGAAGGTCTCGATCTTCTCTCGGTCACTTCCGATGATTAGATGCCGACTGACGTTGGATAAGGCGATCTAAAAAATGAGCGTGAATTATGGCCGATCATAAGCGAGAAGTCATCGGAAGGAGAATTCGTGATCGCGAACGATACTGTCCGCGAAAACAATATTTCATAACAGATAAGACGAGAGATGCGATGCTGGTCTGCGGTTCGCAGAGAGAAGCGCGGCATTTCCGCGGAGGTAATTGCTTTTTTCTCTTTCGCGCGCTTTCTCTCTCTCTCCCCTTTGGCGGCCCTTTCGACGTATCGTGGGAAAAATATATCGATCGCGACTGGCGCGAGTGCAATCGCGCACGAGTCTGCAATGCTGAGCGGTAACACGACCATCGTTTCTCGGAAGCGTGGCTGCCAGTCCGAAGAAATTTATTACGTTCTCCATTTTCTTAAAGTAACGCGAAAAACTAGAACCTTGCACGAGGATGGATCGTACCATACCGTGTAACGATATACTTGTCGATTTAATTGTTCGATACATTATTTAGTTTAGTGCGAAAAATAATGATATTAAATATATAATAATAATGATATTGTCAATATAAATTCAGATCTTATTTAGGCGAATCTCGATTATATTTATTTCGTTTCTCTGCGAAAACCGCATGTTTCTCATGCATTACAGCGTCTCGACTGAGATCTAATGTAGTTAGTTGCACACGCGGAAAGAAGAAAGTTTTGAGTAATACTTATGCGTTTTTTCCTAGGAACAAACTTATATCGTACGTAATAATTTTTCTCGCGAAAATATGTGTGGCGCCCGGATCCTTTTTTTATATTTTGCGACAATAAATCACTCTCTTGAGTTTCGAGATTATTAATTCGACAGAGGAGAAACCTCTGCGAAAAATATTTTTATGCTCATTAAGTAGTTGAAATAAGAAAAATATCGACACGACAGTGCCTTTCTTTCTAATTTCACTTCACATCTAATGTGTGTGCATGTGCAAGTGCAATATATCATATATCATGCATGCCGTTTGTTCCCGTGAACTTTCTATTATTTTAAATTTTAAAACAAAACTTGTTGCTATATATATCTCAAATATCTTTTTTGATTGCAATTTTAAACGAAACATGACTGCATTTATCTTTTCAAAGTATTTCCAAATATTTTCCAATATATTTATACTGATATATGTCAACAAAATAACCGTCTTGTTCAAGATGCATGCTATTTTTGACAGGTGTCGTCATAATTTTGAATCGAACAAAGTTTTGGAACTTTTCCAAAATTTTGTCGAACTCGATGCATGCTCTGCATCATCGGGATCATTGTCCGTTTTATTCACAAATAGTTATAAATACAATGAAACTATTTTTTTTGTCTTGAAATCCAAACTTATTAAAAAATGATGCAAGATCAAGGTACTATAAAAATAGAAATATATAATTTTTTATGCATCAACGATTGTCTGAAAATTGAGTAATTTGTCAAATTTTGTGAAAAATTTATGAAAGGAGGTAAAAAAATATTGGAAAAATCTAGCTTTTGATAGCATCGTTATATTTTTACGAATAGAAAATCTAAGATACTCGTTGAAAGCGTGCGGATATATGTATATATATATATATATATATATATATATATATATATATATAGGGTTGCAAATGCAGTGCTCGGCGTTGAAGTGTATTTTTGATGCAGCGCACGTCGCTGCATCTCCGATTCAACCAGCTTGATACGGAGAGAAAGACAAGCGAAATAATAGACGGCCGTGCAAAAGTTAATGAACGAGAACTTTGCGCGCGCGCACGCGCTTGCGTTTTACACGCGATGAATGGCACGGTATTTGCGCGAGTTTAGCGAGTGGAAATGTATGAGTTTTTTCGCGAGTCAAACACATCGGGCCGAATTATGGGCGAGTGTATGTGCATGCTGAAACGAGATTGCATCGGGAAAGATTACTCATGCGATTCAATAGCGTCCGTATTTAGGTATTTCTGAATTCTTGTTCTGGAGAATTCTCTTCTGAAATAGCAAACAACCTCTTGTGATTATCATTAAAAATAATTGTTTTCATTAATTTCGCCAAGATTTGTTGAATTAAAAAAAAAATTTTAATGTTATATATATATATATATATATATATATATATATATATATATAAAAAATTTTTTTAAATATACCGAACTAAAAATTAAATCTGAAGTTATAGCAATAAATTAAAAATAAATAAAATAAAATTTGATTCAATTTTAAACTATTTTTTCATTAAATTCCAGAAAAACAAAAATTATTAATAATTTTCTTTTTAAAAGTAGGTAACAACTAAAAATAATAAATTTCTATTAAGTATAATTTGATATAAATAATTAGATTATATAGATAAACCTATACAAATTGGTACATTGAGTAAAAATATAACAGGATGAATAAGTGAGATTTATATTCAAATAATAATTAATATTATTACAATTAAACATTGAAGTTCTCTCTATTTATATTATAAATAGAACTATACTAGATTAAAATTTCAACCGAGAAAATAACGCGAAATTTCATCAAGGCACCCGTTCTACTCGTTTACACTCTCTGGTGTACGCTGTTGAAATGTGGATATTCTAGGCATTTGTTTAAATTAATAACGCGCATGTAATTAGGTCAAGCGAAGTGGCGCGGTTATACAAACGCGAGAAACGGCATATCGAGATTAAAAATTACCACAACGTTTATTCAAATTCCCAGTTCGTATCTGGCGAGATTCAATCTTGACGTTATCGTTGTTCGCGCACGAACGGCGAGAGATAGAGAGAGACTTTGCATATATCTTTCCGTTTTCGAATATAAATACGGAAAGGAGAACTCACCCTTTTCTCCTCGTCGATCTGCAATCGAAAGCATCCGAGCGTTTGAATTCGTCAAATATACGACTCAAGACGTAAAAATAAGTGAGAATGTTGAGGGAGGCCATCATTTTTAGCGTGTTCCCAATTTTTGTTATTATATGTATCTTTAGAATTAAGCCTTATATTAAAATTCTGTTAAAGCAAACTCTATCTAAAATTAACTGAAGAATGTAGTTCTGTTAATATTTAATTTTCACAAGGCTTAGTTTCCAAAAAAGCCTTTATTTTCAACTTATGCTTATAATTCGAAAATGATTGGTGTCTCGACATTCTCACCGAGGAAAAATCGTCTCCGAATGATACCAGGAACCTGTCCTTAAACACTTTTTTGCCAGTTCTGGGACATTCTGTATATAATATACGCACTTAATGCGTCGCATTCGCGCGGAATAACGTTTTTAGTCACGGAGGAAACGGTGTTTTTGCGCGAAATGAACTAAAACGGTGGTGCAACGCGGATGTTGCATCGCCACGTGTGCGCCAGCAACATTTCGGAGCAGCAACAGCCGCGATGGACTAGGGAAAATGTGGGAACAGCGTGTCCTTTATTCCGCTCGCGCGATGCACGCGACGCTTATTCTCGCAAGATAAACGAAGGAGGAGATATCCTTTCTCGCCGCGCGCGCGTTCCGCTCTTCATAATTCTTGTTCCCGAGAGTTTACGGTGCGCCTGTAAATTTCCGCGCGAGCTTCAACGCGAATAAAGCTGCCGCGACGTCGAGCATCAAGACGAAGGGAAGCCGCAGCTCCTAACGTAGGGTCGCCGTCGAGAGTTTCGCGTTTATCTAATGCTTTTTCGAGGAATTTTGAATAATTATATTATGATGCAATTTGCATAGCATTGAATTCGATTAATATTATTATTAATAATATTTAGAGAGCTAAACTAAAGGAGAGCTAAGAACTAAAACATAAAAATATTTACGTAATTAAGCTACTTCTTTTGCTAGATACTAAGTGGTTTAAATGGTAAGTAAAAAAATGTTATTTGCATACAAATTTTTTACTGAAATCTTCTATTTAACATATTTTGTGTGATAAACGAATCCAGGAGAAAATATAAATATTTCAGTTATATATTGTTGTTAAAGTATTAAATTTATTTATTTTTTAATATATGTATGAACAGTAAAATATTTGCCACGAATTTGTATTCGTTTTAAGAATTTGCATTTTACACTATGTTTGGATAAAAACATTACACGTTATAACGAGAAACACAAGATAATCAAAAAGTTATTTATGTTTAAATATTTGTTATATTTTTGGTTTAATGAGTTAAATTATTTTATGTTATTTTATGAATAAAAGACCGCGGTATATGAGAAATAGAGTGATTAGTGATGTAATAATACCGGTGAATTAATTGTAGGTACAAAGCAATTTCGCTTAAATAATGTAAATTATTTAACATGAATACGCATAGGGGTGTAAATCTATATAACATACGCGATTTCAATTACTCTGTTTTTTCATCATATATGTATAATATATTATAATAATGA